GGTGCTGGGGCCACGGATCCAGGGGATGGTTTGGGTTAGAGAAGACTTTTAAGATCAAGTGCGACTGTTAACTCACCACTGCTAAGGCCACCACTGCCCCGTGTCCCTCAGCACCATCTCCAGGGCTTGGAAACCCCTCCAGGGATGTGGACTCCCCCCCTGCCCTGGGCAGCCTGGGCCAGGCCCTGACAACCCTTGCCAGGGAGAAACTGTTCCCAAGGTCCAACCTCAGCCTCCCCTGGCACAACTTGAGGCCGGTTCCTCTGCTCCTGTGAAACAGAGCATTAACCGAACTCTGACTTCAAATAATTAACTGCTTGTAGGGTGTAAATCTCTCATCTGGGCCTACTGCTAGTGAGTTGAAAAAGCCTTTTGAGTGAGCTTATCTGTAGTTTTAGGGAAGAAATACAAGGGTTCTTGAAGAAAGAAGCCATTCAAGGGATACCTGCTGTAACCAATTCTACTGCAGAGTCAGCAGAGATAAACAGGAGAAGAGACAGAATCAGCCAAAGGTTCCTGTGAGGAAGACTCAAAGATGAAGAAAACGACCCCAAGGAGACCCTAATGGACTTAACATGGATGCGATAATGGGCAGACACTTATGTAAATGATTTATCGGAAGACGGATGAATATTACACACCATTAGGTATCAGCTGTATGTATCTCTCTCACCTTACCCTGTGAGGTGCACATTTTTGGAGGAGCTATTGCCTGTGCGTCCAGCACCGTGAATAAAAGTACTGACTGAGCAGTACTTAGACTGCTGGGTGGAGTGTCTTTATTTCAGTTTGGCACCCCAGATGGGACCATATCTACTTGGCTGCTGGGCTGGTTGAGAGCAGGACTCTCTTGGGTGCCCCTGGGGGTTTCTCTGGAGGGACTCCTCAGATCACTGTGGGGGCAGACAAGGACCATCTGGCAAAAAGGTAGTCTTTAATTTTACTCTGTTCTCTTGTGCAGGATAATGTATGCCCCGTAGCTAGCAGCCTGGTCTACATCTGATTTGGTACATCACAATCGTGTGCTTCTATTTCAGTGTATCACAAAGGTGCACTTCTGCTTCAGTGCTCCACTGCAACACAGGGGTACAGCCGGTGCACAGGGGTGTGCTTCTGTTCTTGTATTGACATCTTGGTCAATGGATTTGGCAAGTGTTATATAGACATTGAGTTGTGATTGGCAATATTGGTTTTCATTACATTGGTTTGTGTCACTATTAATAGGAATTGGATTTTGCTATTTTAATGGGACAATTCAATGGTTTGTGAACTGGATGTGTGAGTGAGTGAGATGCAGCTGCGCTGCGAAGTAACTGTGGATTCTGACCCGTGGTTCCGTAGTCCTGTGAGGAGCACAGCTGGAGACAAATTTATTTCTGTCTTAAAGCCAGGTCTGTCCACTGTAATTGTGTTTGTGAGCCATAGCTGTGTTTGTGTAAAAGTGGGATCCCCTGTCTTTGTGGTGTGAGTGAGTGGAAAACGGCCAGAGAAACAGTGTGACTTTAATATCTAATCAGTAACAGTGATTATTGTTTTAACCCACCCATAACAGAAATAGGTTTTAGGTGTGCAAAGTGACTGGTGTAATTTCATAGCTAAGAATCTGAATCCAAATTGGATTGATACAGATCTGATGCTGGATGCCTTAACAGAAACAGAGAAGCAATTGGTCATAAGTACAGCTAAAACCCATGTCCAGGCACAAATAAATTCCTGAACATTGCCAGGACCTGTAGATACATATATTCCAACCACTGATCCAGGGTGGGACCCCAATGTAGCAGAGGAGTATGAAATGTTAAAAGGCTATCAGGGGTGGATCAAATTTGGATTTGAGGGAGCTATACCTAAAGCTGTAAATTGGGCTAATTTATATTTGGTGAAATGGACACACGGAAACCCCCGCCAAGTTTCTTGATCGGCTGAGAGTAGCAATGCAGAAATACACCACTCTTGATCCCTCCTCCGGGACTGGGAGACAGCAATTGGCTTCTCCGCTTCTGGGGCAGCCAGCAAAGGATGTAAATAAGAAACTACAGAAAATTAAAGAACTAGACAATAGAGATTTGGAAAAGTTAATGGAAGAAGCCCCTGAGGGAAAGACAGAATCAGCATCAGCCCCCGAGGTCAGATCAGTGCACATATTGCAGAGAAACAGGACATTGGAGAAGAGATTGCCCTAGGTGTGGAGCCCCCCAGATAGCAGTGGCTATGGCTGCTGCACAGTGATAGGGACCTGGGGAATCTACCTTAGCAGATCCACTGGTTAAAGTAAAGCTAGGGGAAAAAGGGACAAGAAGTAGAAATTTTGCTTGACATTGGTGCCTCATTTTCTGTATCAAACCAAGAATTAATACCAAAACATCAGGTTTTTCTTACCGTAATGGGAACTACTGGCCACTAAGAGAAGGCATTTTTACTGCAACCTCTGAAATATAAATTAGGGAAGCATTTCGGCATTCATAATTTTTTGTACAGGCCAGGATCACCTAAACAGTTGTTGGGTCGAGACCTGTTGGAGCAATTAGAGACAAAAATAGTATTTGATAAAGACAAAATTGAACTGACAGTTGGGGAGGATCAGCTAATTGAAATCCTAAGCCTAGCCCTAATACACACCCCATCTAAGTCAAATTTGCCTGAAGAAATAATAAATCAAGTGCATCCTGGAGTATGGGCATCTGAGGTCCCAGGGAAGGCAAAAAAAGCAGCCCCAGTGGTAGTAAAATTGAGACTGGGAGCTCAGCCTGTGAAAATAAAACAGTATCCA